CATTACCATTTCACACATTCGGAAGTAGTGGCCAGTTTGTGGCAAAGCCAAACCTTTACACTGTCAAGGAATCTTGTGTGGTAACCTAGGAGATGACTCATATGGATTTGTTCATTGTATCAGGTTGGACATGTCTATTGAACTGATGTTATGCTATTCATCTTTTTTGAGGCCTTATATACACAGTGTGTCCAGGTTCTGTTAGGACTGTGTTCACTAAAATTACAAGACATGAATTATTTTCAAAATTTCACTCCTTTTATTCAAAATAGATTCCTTCTGAATCAATACATAGCTGGAATCAATTGAAAAGTTTTTGAAAACAATCACTGTACTCCTTTTGCGGAATCGCATTTAAAACTGCGGTAGATTCCTTTTGAATGTCCTGGATGGCTTCTTGACAGTCTCTTTTCATTGCCCACTTAAATTTTGGGAACAAACAAAAATCTGCTGGAGCCAAATCTGGCGAATGCGGAGGATGAGCAAGGAGGGTGATCCCTTTTCTGGCCAATATATCACGCACGATCTTCGGTTTATTGGGTGGGTAATTGTGAAGGAGCGACCAGGAACGTTGCTCTCGATATTCAGGTCGAATTCGAAGAATTTTGCTCACAAATGATTGAGGACTCCGAGACAGTAATCGGAATTCACTCTTTGACCGTTTGGCAGAAATTCCTTGTGAATGATTCATTTTGAATTGAAGAAAACGGTTAGCAGTGTCTTTACTCGACTCTTTTGCATGCCCACTTTCTTTGGTTTCGGCTTCTTTGGGCTCAAATACGCAGCACTCTGCCGCTTTGTGAGAGGCTCATATTGAAAGCACCATGTCTCGTCACCAGTAACAATTGATTTTGTAAATTTTGTCACTTTGGGCCGACAGTAACATGACTTTGCAGTGTTCCACTCTGGCATGATTTTCATTGCCTGACAGCGCGTGCGGTATAAACCGCGCATAGACCTACTGTTTGCCCAAATCGTCATTCAAAATTTGATGCACAGTACATTTTGGTATTCCCATAAGCTCCTTGATGAGTCTTGCAGAAACACGTCTGACTCATGCTAGGATTTCGGTCACTTTTTTCACATTTTCTTCAGTGCTACTTGTTCTCGGCTTTCATGCACGTGGAGCGTCTTCAATGTCATCCCTGCTGTCACGAAATACAGCATACCATCGAAAAATATTCGAGCGATTCAAACAGTCACTACCGTACACACTTTTCATAATTTCGTAAGCTTCTCCGGCTGTTTTGGCTAACTTCAAAAGAAATTTGATATTGGCTCTCTGTTCAACCGCCATTTTCAAACACATGATGCAGCGATGCTTGCGCTTTGAAATTATAGACAGCCACAGCTGAAACTTCAAGAATCTTAACACCACAACTCGCCAACAGTTGGCATTGCAAGGCAAAATTAAAAAAAAATGAGTCCCAACGGATCCTGGACACACTGTGTATATACAGGATGTCCCAGGAGGAATGGACCAAACTTCGGGAGGGTGTTCCTTATGTTAAAGTATGCCG